TGACGAGATCAAACGACGGTCACATACTCGTATTGAGGTGGTCCCTACAGAGGATGGTGGTCCTGGGGAGGAGAGGACAGTCGTGCTAGTTGGGCCTGAGGAAAACTGCGAGGAAGGGGTAGGGTGTTGTTGATATACCGGAGGTATCTGGTTCGAATCTAGGAAGTGTCGTTTTTATAGGCACGTATAGTACGCGAAATCGTGAGCGGTGAGCTCGACGTGTCACCGATCATTGATGACTTCAAACGTGAACATCAACTGGATGAATATGATCCTTCTGGAGGGAAGGGTGGCAAGGGCTACCACGGCAAGGGTGGCAAGGGCTCCGACTGGCGTGGTAGCAGTAAAGGTGGTTGGGGAAATGACAGTGCTCGCTACACTAGTGGTGACTGGTCTGGTGGTAAAGGGGGTTGGGGTAAGGGTGGTGACTATGGGGGAAAGGGTGGCTTCGGTAAGGGAGGAGATGATTCCTCGAACTACTACGGTGGTGGGGGTAAGGGGTATGCACCTAATCCCGCGCCCTATGGTGGCAAGGGCGGTGCTTACCGGAGTGATCCTTATGGAACTTCACGTTACGGTGGTAAGGGCTATGAGTATGGCAGTAAGGGAGGCTCATCAGACTCGTATGGAGGTAGTGCGGGTCGATTTGAGAGGGCAGCCCCCAGTGGTGGTGACTACTACGGTAAAGGCAGTTATGGTGGTGGTAAAGGGGGTAGTGCCTCTGGCTATGCTTACAGTAAAGGCGGCAAGGGAGGATTCGCTACCAGTAGTGAAGGAGGGTATGGGGGTAGTTGGGGTGGCAAGGGTAAAGGTAAAGGAGGAGGCTGGTCTACTGGTGGTGGTGGAGGAGGAGGTTGGGACTCTAGTCCTGAGGACTCCCCCATCCCTCAAAGCGGCGGCGGCGGTCCTTCATCGTACAGTAGCAGACCGTGGGGTGGCGACCCCTCGCCTTGGGGAGGTAAAGGAAGGAAAGGCGGGTACGGTTACTGAACGGCAACGTATTGGTGATTGAACGAATGTCGTAGACGTCTTAAAGCTAACAAACCCCGAATTGGTGTTGCTCTTGTTACACCTTATTTTCCTTCTTGTTGATGGTTGAGTTAGGATAGGTAAACTGAACTGAGAGGACATGGTCATAGCAGTTCGGGATCTCCCGATTCTCTACTGCTGCCCTTTGGACCACGTACTGGCTGCATTGAAATGTCCTCGTCATATAATCAGTCCCCACAGCAACGGCAGATGATGTCTATGGCGGCAACAATGACGTCCGTAGGAGAGGCCAGTAACGATGCCCCTCATCCTAGGGGTGGTTGGGCCAGTAGCAATGCCGAGTTCACAAGGGAGATGAAGAT